GCTGCCGCGCGCCTTGCCCCCGCCGGCCCCGCCGCGCAACCGGCCGCGCATTTCCAGCCCGGAAAGTACTTCCCGTCGCCGCTGCCGATGGCTTCGCACACAGGTCAGTGCCCAGCCCGGGCGGGTGCAGTGCACAGGCCCCGCCGCAGCTGGCAACCGTGGCGAGTGCAAGGAGCGCCGGCCCCTCCGCTCCTCGGAGCAGTTCTCGGAGCTTTGGTTTCATTTCTCTGCGCAGCGCCTGGCGGGCCGTGCAGCCTGCCAGCCCACGGGCTTGCGCAGTTTCCAGCAGCCTTCCCCGTCTACCCTGGATCTCGCAGGGCAGCCCGAGAGCAGGCAGCAAGCACAAGCCTTCTACTCCTAGCCACCCTCCCCCACCCCTTCCTGCAGAAGTAAATTCTTGCGGAAGCCTCTTTTCTGCATTCTGCATTCACCTCGTTAAGACGTTCTGCGTCTGAGACACCGTGGCGCTTTCTGCGGGGGACAGAACGACTGTGTGGCTGGGGGAGGGGGCCAGGGCGCGCCCGGCCCGCGGATTAGAGTGGTGTGCGCCCCGGGAGCGCTAATGGGAACTGCTAGTGTAAGACGAGAAAATCCTGTTTCTATATAAAGCCTTGAAGTGTCAGGGCGAGAATGGGTTTGCAGGGGATGCATGCGCTTTAACAAGTGTCTCTGGTATCCTGCTAACGCCGGACTAAGCGTGGCCTGAGTGCGGACCGCGCATCCCGCACCGCGGAACTCAGAGAGGTGCCTTGCTCGGGATTTCGGTGCAGGCGAGTCCGCGCGCTTTGGCTTCAAGAGGAGAAACCTTGAGTTGTCCCGACCAGCCCCGGCACGCGCCCGCGTTGCAGTCCCCTTGTGTTCCCCTCCCCAGGGTCTGTTCTTGGTAGCGCTGTCCCAGAATCTTGGAGCGAAGCCGTAGCTGGAGGGGTAGTCACTGACCAGCGTGGGTGGAGTTGGGGGAGCCGGAGGAACTGCGCATGGACCTGCTTGGTCACCCTGGCAGATCGGCTTGCTTTTGTTTACAGTTTATTCTAAACATCAGAAATATTATTTGCTGCTTTTATTTTTCAGTTTGGCAGTAGCGGTTATTATTATTAGCTTGATGAACCATGAATACTAATAAAATTATATCTGCTTTAATGGGATTACAATTAGTGTGTGGATTAAAACGGATGGCAAGAACGGGGCTAGAAGGGAAAGTGTTGGAAGGAAAGGCAGTCAAAAAGAAAAAATGCGTTTCCTCAAAAAAAAAAAACTGAAACAAACTTGAAATTGCTTAATTACTAGAGGGCCTCCAGCTTTTACTGCACGCGGTTGTTCTGAGTGAGCAGCCCTGGGCTAGAGTGGCCAGCCTCCTGCGGCGTAAGCCGCACACCGCCTGCTCGCCTTTACTGCGGGAGCTTTGGGAGGTTGTGCTCCCTCTCTGTAGACCGCTTTCTTTTTCCCCCTATCTCCGAATTTTTTTTACTCTTCTAGATTTATAACTGGGAAGAGAAAGGAGAGTATTTGACTGAGCAATTGGTGATTTTTAAAATATCGTTTGCTGCCGATAGCCCTGGCTCATTGTCTGTTCCTGCCACTGCCCTGAGACGCTGCCCACTCTTCTCATGGCCGCTGGGGAGCGGAGGGAGGGATTTGATGTGGTGGTAGCTGCAGCAGGGACAAGTGCCCAGCTTCCTTTCCAGTCTCAGCTCCTGACTAGGCAGGCCAGTCAGCAGGATTGGAGAAGAGAGGGGATGCCTCTGTCTTCTTCCCCCAGTGTGCACTGCCCTCCAGGTTGGTGGGTCACAGTGCTGCAGAGAGTAGGTTTCCACAGTAGTGCCCAGGCTGGCGGGGACTGTGCCCCCTGGGGCAGCCAGGCCAAGCCCAGTTCCCATCAGTTCAGGTCACTGCTGCCTCCTGACCCTGCTCGCCCAGCCAGCTCTTGGTCAGCGGCCATTTCCTTCTTGCCTCTGTTTCCAGATCTAGGTAGTACCCAGTCAGGTGGGAATGTGGCGAAGTGGCCTGGACCTTTGTCTTGCTCATGCTAACTTGGACCACGTGGTTCTTGGACCGCAGGCCAGAGAGAGCTTTGAGAAACTGCACCAGGTCCCATTCTGTGACCCTGCACCCTTCCTGCTGCTTCCTTATACACTGGGGGCCCTAGAGGGCTCCCTCTTTTCCTGCTGGAGGGCCCTGTGTCTTCTGCTTCTGAAGGCCCAGTTTTCATCCCCTTGGGGGACCAGAGGAACCTATTGTGTTTGGAGATCCTGGACTTGGTTGTGATTCGAAGCCTGGCTGGGCTGTGTAAGTGCTGGAGGCCTTTGGAATTGCTAAGAGCCAGGATAGCCAGGATTTCGGATTCGTTTTTAGAATCTCACTGCATGTATTTTTAAGACGGGAGTTATTCTTGAGATCCCTGTACTTGAGTTTGTGGGTCCTCATTTAGAAAGAAAAAGATGGGGTGAAGAAGTTAAAGAATTTGTCTTTGGATCTTGTGTGTGGATCCTGTGTGCAGATTCCCAAATGGCCACCTTCTCGTAGTCTCTCCCTCTCTGTGAATGGATGGCCTTGGCCCAGAGGCCGAAGCTGCGGTAGTCCAGCCTGCCCCTCCCTGCCCCAACTGCCGAGCTGAAAGCAAAATTGCTGGGGAAGATTCTTCCCCGTGTCTGCGTAGGATGCAGACATCCAGGCTGCGCCCCTGGCTCCCCGGGAGCGTCCTTGTGTGGCGTGCTCGCCCCACCTGCCTGGTCAGACACCACCGCTCAGGCTGTGCTGAGGGTCCCTCCACTGCTGCCCTGCTTCGTTCCCACCTGGTGCTTTCACGGTGTCTGCTTGCAGGACCCTAAAGCGGGGGTGCTGGGCTCCCAGGCGTCTCCCATTGTTTCCCCAAAATGAAAGTGCCGGTAGCTTTCTATCCTCCGAGCGGTAGGGTTTATGGTAAAGTGCTGTTCCCTTAACCTTGTCACGGAAAGGCACAATTAAAATGTTTGGAACCATTATTTTCAGCGCCGTGTTAGATTTTAATACAGATGGTCCGGAGGCAAAACTGTGAAATCTCGGAATGGGGGAACACACAGAAAAGGAAAATCAACACGAACTAACCTAGGTTTTCTCCTCCAGGTCTTACTGCCTGGAGTTGCTTGGGTGGGTGGGGGGGGGATCTCTCCTCTCTCCGGGAACCGGTTTAATCAGGAGGCAGCTGCCCCGGGGAGAAACTTGGGAGCTGTGTGCTCGCCTGCCCCTCCCCCCTTCCGGCTGTGTCAGCTCCTGTCCTGTGCTCCTAGAGTCCCCCCCCTAAGGTTGGGGCTCCACCAAGGGGCTGGTTCACTTCTTGGTGTGAATCTCCTTTTGGACTCCTCTCCACCCCTTTTGGCTTTGGGACGTGATTTAACTTGGCCTGTGCAGCCATGTGTCTTGACTGCGGCTTTGGGGGTTGGGAGGGGGATCAGGGCAGGCCGTTTCTGGAGTAAGATGCCAACCTACTTCCTGTTAAAGGCACTTTGGATGACCAGTCGTCTCTAATGTAAAATAATGAAATAATCACCCAAACTCCACCTAGCCCTGTAGATTTAAAAATATATACATATTCTGGTGAGAAAAGACCCCATCGAGAGTGTCCCTCCCATCACGTGGGTTTGTGTGTGTGTGTGTGTGTGTGTGTGTGTGTAAGAAAAAAAATACATTTTCGTAAATACCTCATTAACTGCACCGTGCGAGAGTGTCTCTGCAGCAGTTACCAACATTAAGTAGGTGTGAAAGAGTTACTTTCCGAGCTTCTACCCATCCCGTTCCATAGTGACAGGGCTAGACATCAAAGCTGCCGCGGTGCCCAACGGAGCCACAGGGATCCGGGAATCTGGCGGTTGCATAGACTGGGGTGGCTGTGGCAGCCGCGCCCGCTCCACCAAAGCTGTTTTTGGAAAGTGGGTTTTTTTCTCAGTGGGGCCCATGCTGCCACCAAGTCTGATTATTCCTATAGGGAGACGCTGAGTGCTCCATTGGAATATCCAGGTCACGTGAGCAGTAAGGCGAATTGGTGGCCGAGGCAGGAGTGGCACAGTGCAAATAGCACATCTCCCCCGGAAAACACCGCACCCCCAAACACTCCCCAGTTATTCTTAGAAATCTCCCTCAGCTCCCTGTGAGACAGGGTTCAACAGCCTGCACAGACAGGACAAAAACGCATAGGAGGTTGTTAGAATAACATGGATGAAGCTAAAAATACCCCTCAGAAACACACATAAAAAAGCCAAATCCAACAACAGAGCGAGCTAAAAATATTCCAGGCTTTGGCAAAGAGCACAGAGTTAAATAAATTATACAAGAGCCATTCATGGGAGCAAGTTGACTTTCTCTCTTACGGGAACTTGGTTCAAGCTAATAAAAATAATAATTTACTAGCCACTGAGCTTTGCGTGAGTTTAAATTTAATTGGTGGGGCTTCTGGCGTTTGTCACTTCTTGGCGATTAGTGGGCTTGCCCTGGCCTGGGGCAGGGGGAGGGTGTGCCGAGGCCAGGGTCCCAGGCATCAGGGGCTCTGAAGAGCAGAACCCAGTGCTAATATGGGAGGCCCGAGGAGGCGGGGGCTGCTTGGGGTTGTTTCTTCCAGGAAGGCAGAGAAGGAACAAGCAAAGCTTGGCTATTTTAATTTGATAAATGATTGTACACCTTTAAGAGTGTGTTTTAACAATCGAGATACACTCCAGCAAGTTGATAGGATGTTCGCTGTCAACTTACATATGTCATCAGGGCAGGCTGTGAACATAAATAACGTGGGAGCTTCAGGATGCTCACAGCTCTGGGAGGGGAGGCAGCAGGTCGCACCCCAACCCCTCAAACCCCGCCCCCCGCCCTGGGTCTGGAGGCCCTAGCCAGAGAAGGAAAGGGATGTGGGAAATGAAGGCTTCTTCCTACTTGTGAGATTCAGTTGGGATCCTCCTCTCTGAGGAGGTCTCCCCTGCCAAAATAAAAGGACCAGGGCTTCTTGTTCAAGAAAAAAACATGTGTGGAGTTAGGCGCGGAATTTTAGGGAATCTGTTTCCCTGGCATTTTAAACTTCCAGTCTGAAGTTAGGGTTAGGGTGGCAGCTTGGCTCTCTTTTCTTCCCTAACTCCCCATCCT